TAAATTCAATTAAATTCAACTTTATTTATATAGTTTTTCTAACAACAGACATTGTCATAAAGCAGCTTTAAAGAAATCCTGGTTCAGACATCTAATGATCAAGGCAGGCAGGGAAACTCCCTAAGAACATGAGGAAGAATCACTGAAATGAAGCAAGACTCAAAGGAAAAACTCCCTAAGAGCATGAGAAAGAAACACTGAAACGAACAAAGACTGAGAAGGGAAATCTCACTTAGAACATCAGGAAGAAACATTAAGAGGACCCAAGACTCAAAAGCATGAGGAAGAAACATTGAGAGGAACCAAGACTTAGATGGGAAAACTCCAGAAGAACATCAGGAAGAATCATTGAGAGGAACCAAGACTCAAAAGGAAAATGTGCCTAACAGCATGAAGAAGAAACACTGAGAGGAACCAAGATTCATGCTCTTCTGGGCCTCAGCAGATAGTGGAATTTGTAGAGAGTGCGAGATTTTACAAGATTTTACACCACTGCGCTGGAAGCGTAACGACGTGAGCAAACCCCAATGCGTCTGGCATTCAGGCTGTTATTGTCTCAACCAAGAAAACCACTTCTAAACACTGGCTTTGCATTACAAGCTCATATTTAGGCCCTTCTGTAAACATGGCGTGGGCCAGAATGAATCAATTAAAAGGGCATTACGCCGGTTCCTGTTTATTTAAAACATGTTTATACACTGCGAGGGGGCCCTGCCTGCGAATCCATATTGTTCCCCCCGCTGCTGGAGGAACGGAACGAGAAATTGCAAACACATTTGTTAGTGTGGAGCGAGTTTTATAAATATTGATTTCTGCTCCATATGATGGAAAGGAGCACGACTGATTAGGGGCCATACAGCTCGGAGCTTACACACAACTCAGCTCAACACACACAGCCTGGCAGTCTACTCTATCCTCAGCATGTGTACACATCCAAGCATCTTTCTAAAGACTGTTTCATCATACAGTCATTAGGGATCTCCATTATCGGGTTGCAGAACTTTGCTTTAGTTTATAAATGTTGGAAAATATAGTGCTGGGCAAAAGTCAGAGATCACCCTACATGGGGTGGCCAGTCCACTCTTCTAAAACACCAGATCTGAAGCGAGTGGAGCTTGATTTTCTGCTTGATTGTCTCTCAAAGATCAAAGCTTTAAGTACTGTTTATCTGATGGTGACAGTTTTGGTGGTCTGCCAGGTCTTGCACGGTTGTTAGGAGTCCCATTTTCCCCATATCATTTAATAATTTTTGAACTGCAGTTTTTGAAACACTATTAGTTTTTTTATTTTCACTTATTTGCCTTTGACCATTTTCTTCCTTATGCAGGTGAATTGCTTTTTCAAATGATCTAATTTCCTTAGAAATATCTGCTACTTATTCATTTGTACTTAAATAAATTAAATAAATGAAGGGTGGTCTCTGACTTTTGCACAGTACTGTAGAAGTGTGAAAGCATGCAAAGAAGAGTACATGGCAGGAACATTATAAGACTGTCCACCTTTTATGGGTTCAGATATATGTTCAGCGTGTAGGCCGTCCAATAAACCTTGCATGAAGACAAGAAATTCCCTGTGCTGCCATAAAACCTTCTCAAAGCAACACTGTAGAAGTGAAGAAAACAAGGCATAAAGCTGTAGCGTTTTTTTCCAGTAAAGTTAAGAGGCAAAAATCACCATCAGTCTATAAACGAAACACACGCACACACATACATACAGGCTTTTCACTAACCGGACTGACTGGATTCAAGCAACAATGGACGCTCATCCTCCTCGACCACCCAAGAAGTTCAGCAGATCATGTGTTAGCTCTTTTGTTCTTGCTCTCAGCCCCCCAACACCAGGCCTTTAAAGCTGCTCTCCTGATTCTTGCCACCTAGACGCAGTGATTGTTCAGCATGTCAGCTGCTATCTGCCTGTGTGTTGAAGGCTATTTAAAGCTGCCCTTCTCTATTTCACTATTCCACTACAGCCTTTTGCTAAATAGCTCTGTTCATAAACACACACACACACACACCACACACACACACCCAGCCTTCTGCTACACTCACTTCCTGTCTTCTCAAATCTCAGCTGTAATCTGGCCTGATAGAGAGAGGCAGAGAGAGAGATAGAGAGAGCGCAAAAAGAGGGAGAAAGAGAGGGGGAGAGAGAGAGAAGTGGTGGGGGTGATGAGAAGAGAAAAAAAAACGAGAGAGAAAAAGGAGAAATGGAGAGATAAAGGAGAAAGAAAAAGGAGAGAGAATGAGAGGGAGAGAGAAAAAGAAAAGGGAGAGAAAAATAGAAAAAAGAAGAGAGAAAGAAATATAAAAGGAAAGAAAGATTGTAAAAGGATGAGATATAAAACAGATTAAGAAAGAAGGGTGGCAAAAGAGCTAGACAGTGAGACAGACCGAGAGAGAGAAGGAGAGAGAGAGAGAGAGAGAGAGAGGACCCCCCAGTTAGTGTAAGAGTGCAGTTAGAATGTTTGGCTTCTCTGTCTCACACAGCTCTGCCAAAAACAGACATGAATGAGAGATGCCTTATCACTCATTCAATCAGCACTCACAACTCTATCTCTCTCTCACTCTCTCTGTGGCCTTCTCTCTCTGTCTGAACTCGGTCAGTTCGTCACAGAGGTCCAGAGGAAGACACTTTAGCTACGTCAGTTCCCTCAGCGGAAACTCTCACACACGTCCCCTGGACCTCCACTGAACTTTCCTTACACAGCAGCAGCTCCTGCAGTCCATCAGTGCACTGTTTAAAGTAACAGCGCCAAAAGAAGCTTTTCTGTTTTATCCAAAGCTCAGGAAAAAAAATTCTGTGCTGTTTCCTAACACGCTTGTGGGACTGACATTTTAATACAAGTTAAAATCCTCTTAAATTCACAGTGAGTTTCCACCAAACCAGAATCTCCAGTCCTGACCAAACACATACATTATTTAATAACTTCTTGTTGTTCCCCAAATACATGAAATGTTGCGCAAAATATTTAAAATACCTTTAGTGTCTTGTATATAAAATTCTAATCTACACTGTATATTTAGAGGTGTTATCTACAGCGTAAGTGAAAGTTAACTTATCCTCTACAGAGAACACACTTCTGCACACGTTGATGCACAATTACTGTTTATTTGCAGAATTTAACAAAATCGGGGGAAAAAACAAAATGTAGCCTGTGCAAAAGTTATGGCATATTTTGTTTTATCCTTTTCAATATGCCAATATGTCCAATATGTTACATTCAGCAAATAAATAGAAATCATGCAATAAAGAAATTGGCACTTCTCAGTGTGCTCTGTATAGAGGATGTGTTAATTTACTTTCACTTTTCAAACCTTTGCACACAACTGTTTATTTGGCGTAAATGCAATACCTAAAGCTATTAATACAACAAGTGATTTCAAACTGCTGCATGGCAGTGCATCTACCACTATTCTAGTGTTACCTTTGCAGGACATCTCCAAGCTGCAGAATCAGTCCCCTCACCCGCTCCCCCGCCCCCTGGCTGTCCCTGTGGCTGCGGGGCCACGACAGTAACTTCAAAAGCTTGAGCCATATCAGATTCAGACAGGCCTGAGGTGGCTGACAAACGAAGCAGTGTTGTGGGGAGCGGAGGAATTTACAGCACGAGCCTTTCATCTGCATAGGTGGCCTCAGCGTCTTGCCCCAGGACTCATAACAATCAAACAGGAAATGTGGGGCCTGGCCGTTTTACACTTGTCACAAACTGCCCCCCTGGCCCACAGTACACCTGATCGGCCTGCCCCAACACACCCACCAAACCTTCTAACACCTCCGACATGGACGCACACAAGAAAGCCTTATAGTGTTACTCAGTAACAACATTATTGAGAATAGCTTCATTATAAGCTTCAGGCTAATCAAGACAGAGAATGTAAAACTCATGCTGCAATATTTCTGAAATCTTGATTATGATAACAGACTATACACTCCCTGGCCACTTTATTAGAAACCCCTCCCTTGTAGCTCCACCTTGCTGGTGTACAGTTTGGGATTTGAGCCCATCTGATGATGCACAGTTTGCGTTCACCATCCTCTAGTTGTTCATCAGTGGTCAGTTTTAATCTAGCATAGACATTGATGCAGTAAAACCCAAGAAACATCGTTGTGCCTGATGCACTCGTATCAGCACCACACACACTATCATGTCAGTGTCACAGTAGTCGACAGCAGTCCTGTGGTCAGAAATTGACCAATGATGATTGGGGTAAAGTGTGGTTGACCAATTGTGCATGACAACAGATACACCATAGTGTGTAATTGTACACCTATATAGTGGATCTGTAAGGTAGGTGGAGCTCATACATGACCAGTGAGTGGACGTACAAGGTACAGGGAGGGTCTAAAATAATGCAAACTCCAGATGAAGTATATGCCTTGGTCATTTTGTCAGGCACACCTCCTATATAGGGACTTTGTAGGTTTACAATTGCTGACACTAGCCCATTTATGGTGCAATTCATCAGCCCCCCTCTACCCTGTCCTCTGATGGAAAATTACCACTATAGGTCCACCACTGACCAGGTATAATTTGGGTGGTGCAGGTGCACAGAGCCTGTACCAGTACTGCACATTCTACCATGTTACTACCATGTTGGTGTCACTGCTGTACTGAGAATGGTGAAGCATCGCAAATAATATCTGGACAGAGGTGGTCCTACAGTGGTTCTTTTCCATCGTCGAATGGGCTGAAACATCCGGGGCAAAAGATGGGCTATAGTCAGTAACTGTAAACCTAATAAGTGCAACTGTATGGTATGTGTACCTGATAAAATGGGATTTAGGTATTTAAGGTGACGTTTACTGTATATTGTACACCCCCAGTAGAAGTTTCTAAAAGCAGGCGGTGTGTATAGTAGGTGGAGCACAGACAATGCCAAAGTATTGTAAACAGATGTGTATAAGATTATTACGAGCAATTCAGTCCACTCAATTACTCCTTACTTATGACAGTTCACAAACACAGATTTTGTAAAAATGAAAAAAGACTGGTGTTCAGGTTGTTTTTTAACATTTATTTTGTTAGTTGAATTCCTATTAAGGGTGAAGGAAAATGATGGTCACGCGAGGGTTGTGTGTGTTCTTTTTTTTCCTCGCACATCGTTTTCTGAAGTCACAGTGTTTTAGACAATGACAAAAAACAAGAGAAATTCTTCAAATCTTTACACGAAGAAGGAAAGGCAAGGAAATCTACATAAGGTGGAGAGCCACAGCCACACACCTCTCCTTCATTTTCCAAACTGGTTTTCTCTTTTTCCAACAGCAAATAAAGAGCTCAAAGCTCCACCCAATTTGACCCCCCCTCCCCAAAAAAAACAAAACAAAACAAAACAAAAAAAACTCAGCAACAAATAGATATAATTATATATATTTGCATTTATAATATATTTACTCTTTAAAAATATAACTTCAGTCTAGCGACTAACATCTGTACAAACTACAAAAATAAAAATTTGATATAAATAATTCATATGGCATGACGTACATTTGAAATAGAACTACAAACCTATGCAGGACCCCCGCCCCCTAGACTTTCTTGTCTGCTATCTCAGACTGTAGATTGCTTGATTTTGTGTTGTTGGATTGTGTTGTGTTGTAGATTCAGTAGCTACGTAACGTTGTTTCTAGTCCTGTCACAAAAAAAAAAGAGAAAGAAACGTGAAGCTGCCACTTAAATCTAATACGATTCCCTGGGTTTAACCTGGCAGTGTTATGACCAGTGCTGAAAGGCTGAGCTTTGTCTGAGAGACAGATGTAGAAAATGGAAAAAATACTGGCTTGAATGTGAAATCTAAGACAGTTGCCTGCCTCTAGACTGGGCTGGCTGGAGAAGCCTACAGGAACTCTACCTAATCCACCACTGCATGGGACTTGCTATGAGCTATGCATTATCATCCCCTAACACAACTGAAAACAGAAATAAAACAACTACCTCCCTTTGCACTTAAATACAATTCCCTTTCTGAGCAACATTTTGGGTTAACCGCTAATTTGCCTAGCACTGACATCCTGCATTTTAAGCAGGAACATCATGACAAACGTTACAATTACTTACTGTACAGCTAAAATAATAATCATAAGGAAATACATGTGCATCTCACCACTTCAAGTATTTAAACGTACAGTCTGCAAATGACTAAAAAAAGAGCAGGTGGCTGATAAAGACAAGAAAAACACCTGGAAAGTGAATCTCATCTGATCCCTAGTTCTACACTGCATGTTCTACTGACCTTAGTAGAAAAAGCAAATAAGAGACATTGACACATTTTTGGAGAAAAAAATGTCTAGGACCACAGAAGGAAATGTGTCCTTTTCAATGATAACCCCACTGAAGAACACCAACATAGAATAACATCTGCAATGTAGCATGGAAAGGCACGATGGTTGCCCTCAATTAAATAAAGGTATTTAAAAAAGATATAAAAATAAGGAAAAGAACAGCTTGTTGAAGGAGATAAATGGCAGAACAGTATCTCTGTAGGGTTCTGTAGGTTACAGTGCAATCAAAAGGCAAGGCAACGGACTGGAGGAGGCTGCAGTGTGAGAACGTGTTAATGTAAAGTTGCAGCTTATTGAGGAGGGGGTACTGCATATTTTCAAGGCAAATCATCTCAAATCTGATGTGTAGCAGCAAAAAAAAAAAAAGAACACTGACCTTTCATTTTCAATAACCTAGTATCATTTCACTTCTCAATTTTTACATATAGCACATTTCATAATCTATACAAAGGAGGAATCAAAGCCTCCGAATCCTCTTATACCTCTGACTTTTCATAAGAGAATACACAAGTTATACAGTACTCTTTTAAATAGTTTTCCCTCTTTTTAGTATTAAAATATATATTTATAGATGTATATATAATCTTAAAACAAGATCTTTTTTTAATATCTTTTAAAATAAATCCTCTCATCTCTGAGGTCTATGTACAGTTTAAAGAGACAGAGTTGGGGCTGCGGACGTCCCGAGACAGCCAGAGATAGATTCCAGACAAAGGGATGTGGAAGAAGGGAGTGGGGCTGTCTAGCAATCTTTGGCTGCTTGGATCCTTGTACCACCTGCAACACAGAGAAGGATAAGAAAAAACACACTCAGAACCGCTGGAACACAAATATGCAGAAGGTGGCACAACCAAATGCAACGTCCAGAATGCAAGATATCTTCCATTTTGAGGTAACAGCTATAAAACTAACGTATGTTACGTAGAAGGGTTGCACAACACATTTTTTGTTTATCTTTATCACAGTATTGCAATTTTGATGGTGTACAAGGCTGAAATATGCAAATCAGCTCTCTAACTAATCTCATTGTTTTTACTGTAAGCATCTTGGTCAATTCCTGATGAGTGTTCCTGGGGGTATTTTCGGTCAATCATGTAATCCAACAAAAGTAAATGATTTTGGTAAAAATAATGCAGGCCAGTTTTTAATCATGTCAAGTTACTGATCACTAATTTATATTTAATGTATTTTAACTTGTTTTACAATCTCAATATGTAGCAATCTAATAATATTACTAGTATTTTGTTTACATTGTGCAGCCCTGTATGTACTTATGAGATTAAAGACGACCATTGCAGTCGAAGGGTCAACAATGTGTTGCTTGAAATGTTAGAAAAATGTAGCTCTCTTACCTAGACCCTGGTTAGCTTGATGCTGGTTTTTCTCTAGAGATTCCAAATCTTGGATTTCCAAAGAGTCTCTCTGGGAAGAGTCAGTTGCTTTCCCATAAGATTGTGAAGTCCTCTTAGTGTCCTCGAAAAAGTCTGACTCACTATCCTCAAAGCCCTCATGCATATAACCCTGATAGGATCCCGGCAAGCTCGGGTGCACCGCCACCGTCACCGAGGCGGTGGCCGTAACCATAGTGACCGTGTTGCCGGCATGGACCGGCGCTTTAGTCCTGTTCTGCTGTGGCCCTCTGCTGGGGCCACAGTGAGTAGTCCTTCCAGCACAGTGGGTCCTGTCACTAGGTAAATGCTGTCTCCTATGTCCCTGGTACTCTTGTTTGCCATCAAACCGCATGACCTGTGAACTGATGGAATTCACAGCGTTCTGGGTTGACTCGCTAGCTTGATCTCTCAGGCCACCTGCAGCCGAACCTTCACTGAACGGTTTCACTACCTGGGAAATACAAGTAATTGACTGGTTAAAGCAGCAGCTCAGCAAAAATAATATCAATAAAATGCATCTAAGTATGAGACACTCACTGTGAGTTTAGGAAAAGTAGGGTTCTTGCTGGCCTCCAGCAGAATGTGGGAGGTGGGATGCTGGGTGGGAGCAGTTATGTACGCGCTCCTGTCACAGTGCTTGTAATCTTCTTCCCCAATCCCGGACGTGGTGGTTGTCTCGGAGTAGTACTCGGAGTCTGAGACTTCAGAGAAGGCCTGGCGGCGTCCTCTGGGAACATGTCCCGCGTAGTAACCATGATGGTTCATGGTTGGAGGTGTAAGCTCAGGCGAGGGGCTGGACAGACAGTTGCCGCTGTTGGCAGGGGTGACCTCGGCCGGAGGGCCCATGACAGAGAGGAGAACGGGCAGCAGTACCAAACCATTCAGGATCCCCAACAAGGTCAAGATAGCCAACACTGCAAAGAAGTACCTTTGGAAAAAACACAAGTGGCACACACATTTTAATATAAGGAACCATAGTGAACATGAACTGCAAAGCCAGAGGGGACACTAGCGCTGTTCTGTTTCTGTTTCTAGGGATGTTTCTTTACATAAAAGCAAATAAAATCTATAATGCTCTGTAACATTCATATGATACATGTGACCATTCTAACAGGCTGCAATGCAGTACACCATACAAGAAGAAACTGCTTGTCGCACAGCTGTGATGGGGTGAAATAAGTGGCAAATACTAAAAGGCACAGCTGTTAATTGAGTAATCATCTATAGATTTAAGTAATTATTGTTTGGAGCTCTACAGGAAACTTGTGCAACCTGTGGCTTCTGTGTAGCCATTTGCCCTCTCTTTCCTCTGTTTCCTTCTGCCGCATCTTCTCTCCTGGCAACCTGACAGGGTGGAGGAGAAATTCCTCAGCTCCATCTTCAGCGCAACCTCTCTCTCTCTTTCTCTTGCTCCCTCTGGGAGCCCTCATCTATCACCACTGGCCTGCCACTTCCTGAACAAATGTGTTTACGTTAGCGAGCGGATTCTATGTGTCAGAAACACTCGCCCTATTCCAATGTTCTCTCTCTCTCTCCTCTTCTCTCTCGCTCACGTACCCTTTCTTTCTTTCTTTCTTTCCTCCCCACCCGTGGCCCCCAAGCCCGTCACTGCTGCTAATGTAATTTTCCCCTCAACAACTTAATATCCCATCTCATTGAGATCCCATTTCACCCTGGCCAGGGCACGCCACCTCTGTGTTTACTCTGGGCAGGCCAACCTCCACTTTGTCTCTCTGACTCTCTCACTCACTCTCTCTCTCGCTGTTGGCTTCAGAACTGATCACACCACACCAACACCATTCTGTCAATATTCATCAAGTCCATCATGGGCAGACAAGACTAGCAGTGACAACACTTTTTTTGCTTTTGGGACTTGTCTGGGCTGTGCAAACCCTTGGTGGAAGTAACTAAAAAATGCTCTTCTTCCAGACAGCTGAAAACTGGCATAAAACTACACTTACATCCACCTAAGCCAAGAACATGGAGGTCTGGCTGGTACTGGGGTTGGCATGTCTGGGGTACTCAAGCCTTAGATACACAACTTACAGATTGTGAAAATGCTACTCAATTTTTAATTTACGTTTTTACAATTGTACAGCAAGTCAAAAACTAGGACTCCAACAAAATAAACAACTAGAGAACACACTAGCTATTCAATAATCCAACATAAACTGTTCATGATCCAACCAAAACTCACACAATAACACAACCTCCTTTTACTAGGGGATGTTACAAAAGAAATGAAGAGAAACAACATGGTCCATTTAGCTTTCAGTTGTTGACCAGCATACACTACAAGATTACATCCAGCTTCCGGCCTAAAAAAGATCAAACATATCTGATACACTCCGAATGGCCTGAATCTAGATCACGATGCAAGAAATTAGAGTCTGCACCCCTTACAAACTTTGTGATTTTCTGTACTAAGTGATGACTGTCCAAAAATCTTCAGACTAGCACAGGGTCAGCCCAATTGCGAACCGTGGCTATAATCGGCCTGGAACTCATGTAATGTAACCCCAGCTTATGTGGAGCCACTGTGGTTGTGCTGTGTGCAGCCCTGGCTAGCGTGCTAGCGAGGAGGCAGCCATAATATGCTGCAGAGCTAAGAGGGTGTCTGTGCCTCTGTGTCTCTGGGCTTCAGCTCACGGCACTGAGGGAGGGCTCACCCGTTGCCACAAGAAAGAGTGCATGGGAAAATTAGAGAGCGCTCTAGTTAAACTCTCACAGACACAGAAACACACAGACACACACACACACGCATACATATAAAGACAATTCAGCTCTTCTAAGCTGTGGTTCAGCATTCTGGAGGTAAGAAAAAGAGGAACAGAATCTGGAAAAACAAGGATGTGGAGTCTGCGATGGAATGTTGTCTTTTGGAGTTTGGAACACCCCTGCATCCCACCATCTTTGCTTATGTCACACCTAACAGAGTTTTAAAAAAATGAGTTAACCTCTGGCACATCTGCTGGGAGCATTCAAGGCTTATGGTGGAAACTGCTGTCCATTGACCTGTCTCTTCCAATGAGGCCCTGTGTTTGCTTTGGCTGACTCAGGGCTGTTGAGCAAATGAATCAAAAAACCCTGTTAGAAAGATTACAAGTCTGATGGTCATCACCCTACCAAATCTCCATTTTGTATCTATTTTCAGATTGTGTCTAGCATGGGTCTCCCTAATACTATGTTATTTTTTAGTACATCACTGTACCTTCAGTTTAACAGGGTTGTAATTACCTATTTCAGTCCTGGTCTACAGTAGGTGGAAGGCAAGGTTTTAACATAACATCTCCAAGGCAATATCTTAGGTGGTCTGTTGAGAGTGTGTGTACCATATTGAGCAGAATGGGACACTAGGACCAGGATTCTATGCCACAGTTAAAGCAGGGACTAAGCTAAATTATGGAGTCCTTCAAACATTGAGCAGCAAACTCACTCTCACTCTCTCCAACCCCTCCTGTCCCCCCCTTTCTCTCCCCCTCCCTCTCTCATTCATGTCTGCCTCATTAACAAAGCTCAAGCAGACTGCTCAAGTGTGAACTATTATCGTTTGCAGCTCACTCTACGCAAATGTCTATCTCACATCTACGCAAACAAGTCGGACACATCAGTCCTGACGAAACAAGAAGCATTTGGAGAAAAGAGCCAAGGCATGAGGCAATCAATATTTTCATAATGTTTGTAACGTAAAACATTTTTTGAAGTTTTTTTGTAAAAGCCAACCACTGGAGTTCACCTTTTGTTAGCTAGAGGCACTCCAACATTCGCTATCCTGTATAAAAAGGCGCTTGTTTATTTTACTAAGTCAACATTCCGAAAGTGTAGCGTGATTTATTTAAGGGGTAAAGAAAGAAAGAAAGAGAGAGAGAGAGAAAGAGAGAGAGAGAGAGAAAAAGTGAAAAAAGAGAGGCAGAAACCATCCATGGGCCCCACTTGGGTTAGACCTCCAGAGTAGACCTAGTGTTAGGAATTCTGTTGTTTATATAAACTGTAATCTTTTCCATTCCGAGTCAGGGGTTGGAAGGGGTGGCTCCTTCTGAGAGGGGCCGCTCAGCTTGTTCTGGTGTTTATTCAGTGTCCCACCGCCAGGAGATGTTTACAGCTCTGTATTTATGCTACTCCCCAGCTAGAGGGCTCGCTCTCTCTCTCTCTCTCTCTCTCTCTCTCTCTCTCTCTCCCTTATTCTTTTTCTCCCTCTCTTGCTCTATCTACATCTAAACAGGACCTCCCAGTGTGAATGCCCCGATGCTGGCACACTGCACCCACCAAATGGCTCACTCCAACCCCCTCTCTCCCACCCTCTTTCTTTTTCCCTCTGTGCCTTACCACTGTCCTAAAAGTAACCCCCTCCCAACTTCCAAACACCCAGACCACGTTCTTCCTCCTCTCCACCTCCTCTTTATACAGCTTTGTCTCAATCTTTGGAGGGAAAAAGAGAAAAAGCAAAAAAAAAAATCCTTTCACCATCTGACTTGATTCAAAGTCTTGGAGAATGTCTGAATAGTTGTAGTGCCAAGAAGCCACCCTGGGCGTATTTAGATTTTTTTCTTTTTTCCTCGACATGCTTCTTCTCCCTTTCTGCTGCCTTCTCTAACTAAGCCATTTTTACGTTGTGGGTCTGTTTGAGGCGGCTCTCAAGGTTGCGGTCAGGATCCGGCAGAGCCGCTTCAGCTGAAGAACACTGCTATTTGCTGTTTTTTTCAAAGACAGACATTTAAGCGAATCAAGGGGAAAAAGCAGGCCAAAGGCAATACTTTGAGGCTTTGCAACTTTGGTTGAGACATGCCTGACCAGCTGAACCCTTGGATGGGCAGGACCAGCAGCCCTCTCATGTGTGGGCTTTGTTTAGGCATAGAAGCTTTCAACCGGATGATTGGACATTCGACCATTCAACATACTTCCCAAGAAAAGGGTGGATAATGCGTGTGTGTGTTTCACCACCCAGTGGGTATTTACGTGTTTATGAGCAGCTGTTACACACCCTTAATGTTTTCTCCATTTGTTGCTGTGTTGAAGCAGTACTGGTGAAGGGTGGCCTGAAGCTTTGGGTCAGAGTGACAAGGCCAGGTGAGGAGTGTGAGGTGGGAGACACACACATTCCCACCTGCACCTTTTCTCACCCTGAACACCACCCTGACAACCGTACAACGCTCAACTCCACACTTTACACAAAAGGCAGCCAGAACAAACTTCACAAATACTGCAGCTCTAGACAGTTCTGAATATGGAGACTATGTAATTTGGCGAAAACAGTACAAAATACTGTAAAAACTCCTGAAAAGCCTTTTGTGAGGGAAAGATTACACAGAGAAGCATGTTGAATTCTCACCTCATGATGAAGTCAAACTCGGACCCGGCCAGCATGAGCACCCCCAGCAGAGTGGAGATAGCGCCGTCCATCACCGGTGCAAACATGTGCTCCAGAGCCACGGCCGAGCGTGTGTTTCTGTCCCCGATGGCAGTCAAAAAACCCTTCAGAGAGACAGATGACAAGACAAAGAAATTAAGACCTCATTAGTAGGAAAAAAAATGTAGCTAAGACACATACTTCATGGCACTGCAAACATTTTTGTTCTTACCAGTGCTATGTGTACCGTGAACTCCACTCCAATGCCAACAGAAGCAATAAGGATGACCACAGGGATGGCACTCAGCTTGATACCAATTAGTCCCATGATGCCAAACAGTTCTACCGTCATCATAGCCAAGATAAAAACCTGAGGAGCAAAAGGAGACGTTAGCATATCTTACATGTAGCATGCTAGCAGTACTTTCACAGTCTCCCTGCTCACATTTAGCAGCCTGTCTGATAGCTGTTTACATGGAAATGGTCTAAATGAATGCTAATGTAAAAAAAGCCCCCATGGACCAGCATCCTCCAGACGTCACTATCATCTGCTCCCCCCCTCTGTCAGATTACATCTTAGCTCCACTCCCTTCTTACACAGAGTAAGCAAAAGAGAATGAATGAGTGGGAGAAAGAGCATGAGAGAAAGAAATGAGGGCCCTTCCTGCCTCTCGTGTTCATTATGATTTTCCCAACACCGTTTAGCCTTCAGGCAAATCCTTCTGATGACAATATCCTCTCTTTGCTTTCTGATCAGATGAAGAGGGCACTCAGGAACATCTCTGCCCTTTAAGAAGCTTTGATGTTGGCAGGGGTCCAAATTTGGTCACGCTCAAACTGGAGATGGTAAAAGCCGTTTTATTGCAGCTGCATATAGGCAGTAAAACTGAAGAGGACTCGGCCACTTTTGACGAGACAGTGTGACTGCATGCCTGAAGATTTTCTCATAAGCGCGCTCAGTAGCTACAAACAATCTGACCACGGGCCAGATTTGTAGCTCCTCAACAAGTAGTGGTGTCTGCAGTGACAAACTGTTTTATCAGTGAGTCCTATTCTGACCATCTAAACTTTTGAGAATGTATTGCACTCTCAGTCAGAGAATGTACTCAACACTATTGTTAACAATCACTATTAGTCTTCACTACAAGGTAATCAGCTCTACAAGTTGATGTGGTCCAAGGGTCTACTTGATCTGTGCGTCCAATCTTCACTTGTTGGAATGGGGTCCCCACCAGCCAGTGTAAAATGTTTCCCAGCCATTAAACAGATAGTCTACCCCCCTTACTCTCAAAAGCCTTACTCACACCGCTCCCGCCCTCCCCAACCCAGCGCTGATGGATGGATTTAGCAGGCCAAGGTCACGACTGGGCAGATCTGTCCTGTCCCCAAATTTCTGGACAAAGGCAGTTTGAGGTAAAAGGCTTCAGGAGAGCTTTGCCGCTCCTTTGCATTTCTTTAAAAAAAACTCACAGCTCACATTAGAATGACAAAAGAGCTGGGGGAGTGTATGTGTGTGTGTGTGTGCGTTTCTGTGTAGCACCCTCTGGACACCCCGCCAAGGCCCTCCCTAGAGAAAGGTTCTGTGTGGCAGCGTTATTGAGCTGTGCTGAGAGGATCAGGTGAAGACAGAAAGAGAAAGACACAGAAAGAGACAGAGAGAGAGATAGACTTACAATTACACCTGCAGTCCATGGATTGAGCAGCAGGATGGCACACACCAGGAAGGTGCAGGCCAGCACCACGCTGATGGACAGCAGGAACCAGTGGCGCAGACCGATGTACTGCTCCCAGAAGAGAAATGGATAGCCATTAGGATAGTTTTGTATGCCCTTGCGCATGAACTCCTCACAGATGGAGCGCACGCTTTCTATTGCCTCGATGAAGTCTGAGGCTTGGCGGAGGCCATTCAGGTAGAAGGGAAACTGAGCAAACTCCAAGGGTTCAGCAGCAGGGACTGTGACAAAGGGACAGAAAAGACATTAAAGTGACAGTTTGGTGAACTATTAAACTTGTACAATGTTTCCCTTAATTCTAAGGTTGAGCCAAAACATGAATATATGTTGCTAATTGAGGTAACAAAGAATGCAAGCATGTACCCCACCAATTAGCACTGTGCAACCTGTATGCCTAAATCTGTATACACTTGCCTCACATAGCTAAAAACAGAGGTGGCAACCAGCTTGAGCCTCATAGCTCCAGTGCAAAAGCAGCAACCTTCAGACACTGATCATGTCATACTGTGTGCATACTTTAGCATACAATATGCACATACAGTATGTGCTACTGTAAATCAGACTCAAGGACAAGAAACTCGAGAACACTCACTACGCAGATTCTCGCCAGTGGTGTCATACTTGTCGTGGATCCACTCGTGAGGATGTGGGTAGAAGTTGGCCTGGGAGGCAGCATAACCCAGTGGGTCATTACTGACCCACACTGTCAGGTAGATGTAGAAGACCTCCGCTGGAATCATACCATCATTGTCCACCAGGCGACGGGATGTCAACTGAAATAGAGATTTGAATGAATACATGTTGGCCTATTCACATTTCTTGGGATATTATACAAACTTAAAGTCAGACAAATGGTTAAACGGCATTGGCAATCTTTCCACACACACCTGGCTGTAGTTGAAGGGCTCTTTCTTGGAGCCAGTCTGGATGAGAAGTTTATAGGCTAATGCACCATCCTCAGTGCCGTTGCGGTAGCTGTCATAGGTAATCCTGCCTGCTTCCCAATCAGCATCAAATGAAGCCTGAAGCCCTATTGGAGAAAGCACTGGGTTAGCCAAATAAAATGACTTGTCTTCTCCGAGATCTGCTCAAAAGTCTGCTCTAGAATCAGCACAAGCTAAGTTTACTTCAACAGCAGTAAAACGCCTGAACAAGGCAACTTTCCTTATGGAATTAAAGTGCCTGGTGAGAGTTAATGCCAATCCACACACACAAACAGACACATAAAATGAAAGGCCCCCACAACCACCCCCCTGAAGCCGGGGTCTCCATCTTTGTGCCTGCTGCTGAATAAGTGTGTGTGGGCTGAATAAACTAACCAGCGAGAGCCTTTCGTGCTCTCCAAATTACAAAGTCTGGCAACAGCTGAAAAACAGTTTCCACAACCATTCTGTAATTACAGAGATCTCCCTCACAAGAAAAGGAAATAGCATGGGGGGGACAGGGAGTGGAGAGAGAAAGACTCTTTCAACTGCCTCCAGTTTCCACTGCCTTTCAAAATAAATCGCTTCTCTTTTCACTGTGTTTTTATTGTTTTTGTTTTTTTTTAGCAGCTCTGGGTTTTCCTCACAGCTGAACCTTCCTTATGGACTAAGGCCAGGTGGAGAAGTCATAAGCAGGCAGAGATAACCCTTAGCCCTGCAGGATCTCCTCCCCTCAGGCCAAGAAGGACAGACCAGTGATGGACAGGTTTGACCTCTTACTGTGGTCGAGCAGCGATTCACTTTCACACGAGCCGAGATAACAGACGCACTCTCCCTCACCCAGCCTGATACTGAATACTGTCATTGATTTATGTGATAATGTATTCCCAATAGATAAACAAATGGCTCCCAGTACTCGTTTTAGTGTTTTCCCTGACCTAACATGCTCATCTCAACTCAGAAAGCACTTATTAATTTGTTGATTACTTGGATCAGGTGAAGAGCAGGAAAAACATCAAACAATACAGGGCAGGGATACTAAAGGAACAGCAATGGGAACAACTATACTAGGTTGGCTTGACTGTGCAAGCATTTTGTGCCTATATCATGGTGTAATTTATTCTAACTGTCTTGCCAAATGAAGCAGCAAAATGTCCTTAAGGGAAGATTCTGCTGCACGTCACATTCATTCATCTTTCTTAAAAGATAAATTACCACTCTAAAATTCGGAATCACCATCACTGTTTTAAATTATGTAAAACTTTGTACAGTCAACACTGCATACATCAGCACTGACTACAATATCAATAATTATTAATATTATAAGTTCAAAAACAAGTAATGTGATTAAGCACTTACCTCGGAGCCAGTCCTGAAAGTAGTGGAGCCACATGCGGGGCAGCTTCTGTTCACTGTCCCTCACCACATACTTGACCGAGTTGAAGGCATTGTGAAGCTGCAAGAGCTCCCTTTGGGAGCGGGCATAGTCGAACCTGTCCATGGTGACCAGGTACATGTTGTAGAAGGAGAAGTATTTGAACTGTGCAGAGATAAAGTCGTACTCCTTGGTGTCCCGGGGCACTATGTCGGTCAGATAAAGGCCGTCACGGACCATGGTTGTGCCATAGAGGCTGAGGCCCAGCAGGGCCACAAATGCCACTACCACTACTGTCTTGGTCTCAGGCTTAAGCAGCAGGGGGGCATACTTGTCCCGGGCAAAACGAGCCAGGTCCCAGCGCAGGAAGGGCAAGGGCGCACAATCTCGGACAGGTCGCGACTCTTCAGTCTGGGACAGGAGGTCCCGGGTGGAGCTGGAAGGAGTGAAGAGGCTTGAGCCATAGGGGTCATTGGAGGAGGACGAGGAAGCCGGGGGTGCAGGGCTGGTAGAGATCTGGGAGGTCGGGGGAAGGATGGTGACGATGTGCTGGCCAGCAGCATCACACTGCGTAAAGGCCTGCACTGTGGTGGTGATGTGCGTGCTGGTGGTGATGGTGGTGGAGCCAGTGAAAGTAGGTGTAGCAGGGGCGTGAGCATGGGGGGGCGGATGGTTGTCGTTCGCATCTGAGAACTCCTGAGGCTGGATCTGGATCACTCGAGAGGAACACGGGCTGAAGGAACAACACAGAGAGTCAATCATAAAAAGCATACGTTCCGAGATACCTCAGCTCATTAGCGAACACAGACAGTTCTACATTGATCTAACAACTGCCATGATAATATTAATATAAATTAGGGATGGATAAACCCGAATTAGGCATTTAAGGGTTCAGAAAGAAGCCCTTCAGCTTTAATCTTAAACAAAGTAACATGCAGTTACAAGTGTACTAGTATAATTCACTGGCTGACCTGAAATGTTTTAACATTAACTTGGCCTTTCTGAGGCTGAAGACAGCGTGTCATGGTTACCTGTAGAAGCAGCACAGAATGTCCAGCCTTTTGTCCTCACGTCTGTGCAAGTCCAGACTCAGGATAGCAGGGAAGATGAGCAGAACCATAGCAAAATTAAACACCACCACAACAGCAGCCTGGAGAGAGAGATAGATAGAGAAAGATTAAGAGATAGGCCTGGAGCTTTTCTTTCATGAGTGGCACACCCGACTCCACAGCTGCCGTCTGAACTTGACAAAAACTCACTGCATTCAAACTCCCTTGCTGTTTTAGTGCCTCGGATTGAATCCCAGAAAGCTAAAAAACGCACCCTAAATCAACTGGCTCTTACCCCTCCCTCTCTCCCCAAAAATAGTCAACAAGCCGAGGGAAAGGGGACTCCCAAGGCTGCGACGAGCCTAAGCAGGCCCCCCCAAACCCTCAAAAACCTGCCAGCCCGGGGCAGACATTATACTGCATATCACTGGAAAAGCAGACCACCCAGTGCTTGCCTGGAGAGATCAGAGAAACGCAGGCTGACAGTTCGCTGATATATGCACTATTCACTCATCCTATTCCTCTCTCGCTCTATTTTTCACTCTCTCTCTCTCTGAGAATCTGAGGGCCAGGCTGCAGCTTTAGTGGGCCAAGGGGGAGCCGCCATAAAAAGAGAAAGAGGGATAACGAAAAAGAACAAAAGAAGTCCCCTCGTTTATTACGACTACATTTTGTTGCCATTCATGCCAGCTGAGTGAATGGCTGTCGCAGGGTGCAGAGGTTTACTAGGCCACTATCTCTCGCTCTCATATAAACACACAGAGAAACACCAGGACTGAATATAATCACTATATCTATATTCAACTACTCTATTATTATTTAAGTTATTTGAATTATTATTTAACAATTATTTTACTGACCATTACACCTTTACTGTTTTCCTTTCATTTTGCCCCAGTCACAGAAATGCCAACAAAGTTCTGTCAATGTGACAAGTGATTTTATAGATTTTATAACGAAAATTATACAGCCCTAACAGACACACAAAAACACTCTCACAGTTCCATACCTGCAACGAGAATGCCCTTAGGGCAGGAATGGGCACTAGTGCTGCCATGAAGAAGGCAATCATATTGTTAATGGAGGTGAGAGCCACACTAGTGCCGGTTCTCCTGAGACAGTCACCGGTTCTTTCCTATACACATATATACATAGAGAACAGCATAAGGTGAGCACACAGTCTGCATCAGGAGAAATAAACGTGCTGGAAGTGTGGTATCAATGACACTCAGAAGAGAGAAGAGAGAAGATTAGAACCGCGTACCTTGAAGGGGATGTTGGATCCGGTCTCAGTGAACGAATGAGCCAGAAGAAACATGTCGTCTACCCCTATCCCCAGTGCCAGGAATGGCAACACCTGTGGAGGATTACACCATAGTCACCCATAGTCACTTAAAACCAGTCTTTGGAGGGTGTAAGTTGCAGGGATTGTATATATTTTTGAGTATATACCTGTGTGGTGGCAGCGTTGAAAGACAGCCCCAGCAGAGAGCAAAGTCCCAAACCTGCAGCCACGGACAGAGCCACCAGCAGCACTCCAGCCAGCCCCACTGCGCCCTGACTCTTAGCACAGTCCCAGCGGAGCATGGTCACACACGCATACGCCAACTACACAGATAGAGAGAGAAACAGAGACACAAAGAGAGACAGAGAAACACAAGTGAGCGATGTAACAGCTTCACTCATAAAGAGACACTGATTATTTCAACTAATGTAATTTAGCTTTGTATAGAGTACCATATATTCAAGGCGTGTACAACATGAAAAGCCTCTTATTTTGTTTCACTATTTCACATGTTGAGGAAGGCTGTTTGTGAATTCTAAACTTTCAATCAATACCACATTTGTGCTTGGATGTTGAAGAGGAGATTTTTATTATGATCTGAATTTGAAGAAAAGTTATTTTTTTGGCATCAAAACAGAATGTACAAATATATATCAAATATAAACTATGTAATAGCACAATTATGCAATTACATTACAGTAATTATGCGTAATGTAAATCTAATATACAGCAAAACAGTAGTAATAGACTATATAAGGGTTAATCAAAGCCTTTCCATTGATATGCTGATCTAACTACTCATATTTACCATGAGCAGGTAGCCACCCGCCACCCTGATGACACTGATGTCAGAGAAAGACTTCATGATGTCGTTGAGTGTGGTGGTCGAGAAGGCATACACATTAGAGGAGGAATTCTGAGGAATGCTGCTGTGGACCACCTAGCAAGAGAACACACAACTGTTCAGTCACAGATTAACAATAAAAGCCACTAGAAACCTTTACGATTGTAAGTTGGTAAGTCTATTTTGATTGTAACAGTACATCACTACTGAAATACAAATGATTTTCATACAACGGACCCTATCTAACAAAGTAATATCTGAAATGGCTTTTTTAGCTTCCCGACTCTGTGTTTTTCTCCTATAAAACACAAACAAGATAGCGCAAGCCCCCAGGAAGCTTGACAAGCACGGAATAATGAGCACAGATGCCATGAGGTCAGGGGTCAGATGGATCAGATGAGATCACATGACCTCTCGGGCTACTCCATCAGCGCCATGAATGGCCGACAACCTGAAGGGGAACCAAATACCCAACACTTTGTTTTTACAGTGCCCTGCCCCCTTCTCCTGTCTCCACTTCCCTCTCTCTCCCTCCCTCGTTTTCTTGGTTCCCTCCTTCAGTCAGTGTGCTGGGTGTCGGTTATCACAAAAACAGCTTGTTCCTATAACCGGGGGTCTGACAGTAGCCTCCTAGGACGACTCCATTTACTAGGTGGCCGAAGATTGATGGAATTCAGGCAGACACTACCATCGCTGCCATTTAAATAAAACAAACAAAACAACCACCCACCCACTTTAGTTCTAAACCCCACCTTAATCCCAATCTATATCCTAATCCTAACCTCCCCACCCCAGCCCATATACAAACCTATACATTTTAAGGGGGTAAATTAGCTGATTAGCTGAATCAGACAACAAAATATGCAGAGCAGGGCTACTTCACTGTGCTCAATCAGCAACAACAAGACAATGGGACAGGAAATTACCTCTACAAACTTCCTCTGCCAGGTCTCCAGGATGGCAGTGGCCTTGTCCTCATTCCAGTTGATATCGTGGATCTCATAGTCGTCTTTAAAGTGTTCATACAGCTGCTTGGGACTCATGAGAAGAAACATTGTCTGCAAGGCCTCAGCACTGCAAAAGAGGCATGTCAGAGGTCGGTGAGATTGGGACACACTGAAATGATGTACTGATCTCTGAAATGATGACTTTCAAGAAGAAGAAAAATAAAACTTCCTTAACTTGAATGTACATTAATGCAATACAGTAATACTCAACTAATACTCAATTAATACAACTAATTTTAAACTATTTCTATTGGACCATTAATCATGAAATATTCACACAACATAAAGGACAGCTCACACAACATCAAGGAAAGCTAATGGTGTAAAAAAGGAGACAAAAATAGAGAACAAAAAAGAGACTTTGATATGACAGTAACAATACTACATATTTAATAAAAAATTTTAAATTTAACCAGCAACGAGAAAATGTTTCTGTCTGTTTTTTCCTACACAGTCAGGGTGTTTTTGTCTTGGACAAACCTAGACATATACTTGAGTACACACAGGCTGATAACATCATGCAGTGGTATGAAAGCTGGAGATCTGTAAGGTGTCGCAATAAATAACATCACAGACTCGCGCGTGTGGGCTCTTGTGAGCTGCTGCAAATCATTCTATCACTTCCTCTGAAATGAAATCCTGGGTTGCAAGCTGGGCAGGAGTCCCAGCTTTGTCACTCTACTCCTCCCAGCCAAAGCCTTTCATTTATTTCAAATTAAAACTCAGCATTCAAAACACATGAATGATGTTGAGTTTAGGGGGACTGGCGACCGTAGCTAGTCTTTTAAAGTCATTTAGACATTGTTTTTATTTACTTTTTCTCATGTTCTCTACTACACTATGCCTGCATTAATAGTGGGGTGGCATTTTCTTCCTGTGTGCAGCACTACAGGTCCGTTCATAGTTTATGTGGATGTCAATCATGTTTAATTGGGCTACTCTCTGCTGGGGTCAGAGGCGGAAACTGATCCCCTCTCAAGCGAGGAATTCCTTGGATGTGTGAGATTATTAGGAGTCAGACAGATTCCCCCCCTCTCTCTCTCTCTCTCACCTTTGCAAAGAACCCTGGGAGTTCTTCGCTCGCTCACCCAGGATCAGTTCTTCCTGCCAGTGCATGAACTTCTTGGAGAAACCATGGCAACCACCCTTCAATTCCACAGCAATGTCAGGACTCTAAGCAAGACATTAATAAGCATGTTTACTCTAAACGTCCAAACAAAACAATACAAATCCTATCAAAAGACCTACTACTTGCTACTGTACTGCAACGCTCACCTGCCGCAGGTCCTTGTTGGGGGCACTCTGGGGGCAATCTGGATCGTTGGGGTCCAGGCAGGGTCGGTTCATGTAGGCATGGCCCACCTGAGCCTTGTCCAGCATCTCCCTAAAGCCTTCCAGTGAGGTGAACTGGCTCAGCTCCTCCATCAGCTTCAGAGGGTCCAGATTCATCCACTGAATGTCAGGCATCCCCCTACAGGTGATACAGTGCACATGCAATGGTTATGCAATACTGGACTTCGCAATATCAATATTCCACAAGTATTTAACAATGCATTACATATTTAATATTGTACACTTGGAGGCTCCTGACCAATCACATGGATTTCAAAGTGTTTTCAGTATGTTTAGATGAAATCAAGGCATCTGAAACAAAAGCATAAATAACGGAATCCCCTAATATTCCCACAATTTCCTCAATTTCAGTCTTCACTCACATAACTTAATAATATCATTTCTTCTTGTTTACCATCTTGTTACTGAATAGTAACACAATACAGAATAAGAAAATACACGTTAAGTGTTCAATGACATGACTGGCAAATTGCAATCAAAATATGTAGCAATATTATCACAATGATGTATTTTGTCCATATCAAGCCACCTAAATATGAACACCATTAAATCCCCTTTTCATCCGATAACTATCTGAATATCGTGACCTTCCCCTGCTGCCCTCTCTCTGGGTCGGCCTTCACCAGCCTCTCCCCTGGTCTCGCCTGGACCACAGCGGCTGCATAAAGCGAGAGTTTATTATCCTGTTACACGGCTGGGCGTAAAGCGGTGGCGGGCCGCGGGCATAGAGTCATAACAATTACCTCTGCCTCCCAAACATCTTGATAAGACGACTGGGCGAGCTCCCCTCTTGCCCGCTCTACGCCCGCTGTGGCCGATGCTAGCCAGGCCTCCAGCTAAAGACCCTAATCCACAGTCTCCTGCTCAATGCCATGGAGCCCCACTCAAATCTACATGTGAAATCTCCCCTGTGAATGCTGCATCGTATTGAGATGTTCCATGGCTGTATTTTAAGCCTAACGTCATTCTTAATAGAATACAATTGCATGATTGCTATAAATTTCCTGTACATTTTGTTTACATACAGAATATGTCAATTTATTTTGTATTTATGCACTGTATTTACTTGTATGTATTTGTTTACTATTTTTGTTGAAGTGAAATTTTTCACAACTAAATTGAGTTGATCCAGTCATCTGAATGGATGTTAAAAAATGTCACAAATACTTTTTCCTTCAGAACTGTTTTTGCTGTTCTACTTTTTATCTAAACAAGTCCCCCAAACACATGACATTTTGCACAAACGTGATATAAAAAAGCAACTTCATGCAGAATTGTGGACAATCTTAACTTACTTGTCACTGTCAAGTCTTCCAAATGTGCGAAGGTAAAGAGAGATATAATTAAAGATAAAAAAGTAGTACTCTAAGTTTGGCCATAATTTTTTTTGCACCCACTAATCCCTACCTAAAATGACAATGAACTCTGGTCGATCTACGCACCAAAGAGAGCGGGGGGTCTTTAGTTGGCTGGCGAAAGGAGAAAGAGAGGGAATAGTGTCCTAACTCTGGGCCCAATCTCACTCCAATAACTCATGAAGAGTAGCTTCAAATAAAGCTGCTCCTCTCTCATTCCCACACACCAAGCGCCTTTGCTCTTGCCTGCAAAGAGAGCCTCCTTTATCTCCTATTTTTTGCTTGAGTGAACCAGCCTAGGCCCTTTTGTTTTTCCATAGATTGCTGCTCTTTGTTCTGTCAAGTTTTTTTTTCACTCTCTCTCTCTCCCTCTCTCTGCTTTTAAAAACCCTGAACTGAAGCGAAAGCTAGAAAAGACATTAGCTTCAGTGGCCACCCCTAAATGTCTGCACACATGGTGAAAGAGTGAGAGGAGAAAATAAAATGTTTTTGTTAAAAAAAAAACAAAAAAAAAAACAGTTCCCTAACATCTAAAATTTAGAGGTAGTGGTTGAAGCATCCTTCAGTCTTTTATATCCAACCTTTAAAAGCATATCTACTGAAACAGACCTCCATAAAAAATCTGATTTAAAAAGTTTAAAACACACAACTATAAAAAACTGAAGAAATTAAAATGTTAAAATATCATATACTCTAGCTTCATGTTGCAGAAAGTACCACATATTCTCATGTTTTAAAGGAATACGTATGTTAGTTGATTAAAATTCACTGTTAATTTCTTGTATGCTCTCTTTTTCTCTCTCTCTCCCTCTCTCTACGAGCCCATGACTTGAATAATGCCAGTTTTATTTGTTGGACAACTTACAGCTCAGAACCAAGGCGATTACCATGAGAATGCGCAGTGTTACCCGGTGCTGACAAAGCCGGGGCCCCCTCCAGGGTCCCCTCACTGATGGACACTCAGTCGTAAACTCGGAGAATGCTGACCATTGTCTGATCCAAAGGCCCCCCTGCCCACTCCCCCTTTCCTCCCACCCACCCAGTAGCAGCCATCTCCTCCCTCTCTCTGTCCTCTAGCCATGAGGGCTTCCTCTGGCTGGCTTAGGATAGCATGGTGGGTTGGGCGTGGGGGGCGAAGGAGGGTGGCAAGGGAGGGTGATTGGGGCCTCCCACTCACTGCTGTGATGACAGCAGAAGCCTAGGCGACGATGGAACCAGGCCTAGGCTTATCGACAGCCTAAATGGAGCTTTTTACTCAAAGCTTGATGTCGAAGTTTGTTGCTGCAAATGCTGTGTTTGGTGGGGGGTGGAGGCTGTTGTTAAAAGAGCGTGTGTTGTCCATGGAGGTCAACTCTAGCTTCCTCAACCAACCCACCTGAAGGGCTGCATAATATATTGTGTGTTATTTTTATTGTGATATATGCCTTTGCAATACTGATATCATAGAAGGATATGCAAATGAACCTCTATCAAGTCCCCAATGCGTTAGGTGTTGGGATCAATCGAGACATCCACATGACCCACAAACGTAAATCATTTTGGTCAAAAATAATGCTGGCCAATCTTAAAATGAGGACTGATTAATGTGTTTTTAATTTAAGTTATATAATAATCACAATATTTCTCAAAATAACACACTAGCCCTAGTGCACTGTGGTCATTTTTAAGTGGTACTGGAGTTGTGTGAGTTCTGTGATTGTGTGAGTGCTTACGGTAAGTAGGCGGAGCCTCCCTGCAGTTTGGAGCCCTCCCAGAAGCAGTCCAGTGGGGTAACAATCATGCATGGGAAAAGCTTGTCAATCATCTAAAAGCAGAAACAGTAATTTCTGTTAGACAAATATTCATCCATATAGCAAAACTATACTACATAATCAAGGTGTAACGACAGTAGATGAGCTATATTAGATTCCTGTCACATTAAACAGTTATTGAGGTAAAGTCATACAAGGCCCAGGATAGTCTTAACTTACATTAAAAAGACTTGTCAATTAAGAAAGCAAGAAACCTGATCATAATTACATCAACATACCCTTTCAATCATGACGTTTTCTATAATCGGGACTCCGGATTTGAAGCAAATTTTGTTAAGGTCCCAAGATCTGTGGGCAGAATTAATTAAAATATTCACATTTTAATAGACAGTCTTGTTGGACCTCAGGACTTTCACTATTAAGAAATTCCTCATAATCTTTCAGGAGGTTGGACTCACTTTCCATAAAGAGACACCTGGACTTTGCTGGCTGACAGAGCTGCCTCCAGGTGGAGCAGCAAAGCCTCCTGGGTAAGAATATTGGTTCCTTCCTGTTTGGGTGTCTGTATGAGCATCTGCGAGGTGAATACTGTCTCTTCTCCTTGCTTTTCTTTCGTGTAGCGCAATTCCCTGCTCACCCTACTTCCAGCTGAAAGAGAGAGACAGAGAGATCAAGAGACAATGTCAATGGTCCGCTATTCAGAACTATATACAAATGGAACGTGAACACATTTGGCCACCTTGCTTTTATTCTCTTTGCCTCTAATACTAGCTGGGCTGCTCTTCAACTGCTGAAATGTTTATGTGCTGCAACAAAAATCAGGCCAGGATACCAGGCAAAAAACAAAACAAAGAGCTTGTCTAATGCCAATGCTGCAAAGAAAGGGCACCTTAACATTAACCAAGATCCTTACTAAGCAACAGGCTAACAGCACAATTAGGCTGAGGCTCTGCAGTTCTAATTCCTGCATGTATCTAACATCCAAGCAACCCCAGAAACAGATGTGGGGGTCACATGAGAGGCTTTGGCAGGGAAAGAGAGAGAGAGCTGGAGCTGTGTAAAGAATATGACACAGCTAGGGCTGTCACACCAAGCTGGGGGAGACAGACCGTCGCACGAGATCTCTCGTAAATTCTCCCCAAAATGCGGGTGGCTGCAACATGCATGCTGGCGCAAGGCCAGCTCCCAGCCAAACTTCACCACTACGGGGCTCGTTGAGATGCTAGCTAAAGTTAGAGCTGCCTCATCATAGCCTCATTACAATCTACGTGCACAAGTGTATGAGTCAGTGTTTACTGAGGTTTGAATGAAGAGTTCAGCAAAACTTCAAATGTATATAATTTTTCTCTTACTCCAAATACAGTTGATAACATACTGTTACCTATAGAAACAGACAAAAATACAGGCAAAAATACTAATACTGCTTTAAACTCAGCAATATGCATGTTATCACTTTTTACCTGTTTTAGTTTTAGCAACATTATAGAAAACAGTGCCATACTGTGTCAAAAACTATTGGTTTTTATTACTTCTTGTAGCACCAGCGCAAAGCTGAAGAAGAAATAAGTTAAATTTGGGGCAAGGACTTTAAACGACAGTTCCACCACAAATATTAACATGGCTAACAATGAGCTTACTTACTTATTGCTAATTAATGGCCATGAGCTTTAATTCATTATTAGCAATGTTAGAATTTTTGTTCAAACTATTCCTTTAATGCTTGACCCTGTCCTGTTAAACTCAGGATAGGGTTTCTGGTACAAGGCCCTGGGAGTCTTTATCTCTGGTCTGCCACCATCTCCATCCTGGTCATGTGAGTTCTCCATGACTAGCCTTTTATTCCTGACCTAACCCATGCGCACAAAATCCCAGCACAATACCGAAGGACCGGGTAGTGTCCCCATTTGAAAAACAGGCATCCACCATTCCAGAACTAAGCCGTCAGAGAACCAGTGTGTGCATGCGTGTGTGTGTGTTAGGTGGTTAGAGAACAAAAGCTGGTGGTTGGGTCTGGCTGGGTGGGTGAGTGGAGGGGGAGCAGAGGCAGGAGAGGACAGGCAGAAACACTGTTCATGTGGTACGCAGAGCAGCGATGAAAGGCATCAAAGGGAGCGGAGGGAGCTCTGGAGTCCAGCCCCCTAATTAACAGAGGCGGTGGTGAAAAGAGCGCGCGGGGTAGCCGCAGCCATGCCAAGGCCTCATGAAACGCACCGGCCCAAATCAGAGCGCATCCGTCTGCCCCTTCGTATCCCAGTACACGAGCCTACATTGACTGCTTCTTTAGTTTTGCACTTGAGCTATGAGGCAAATGTAGCTAGCTTGTATCACGGTAAGTAGCACTGAGCTAACTGCATGCCCAAATCATCGCACATTTGTCTCAAAGTGCTGTTCAGTTACATTGTTAGATAATCGCAAACAAACCTGTTTATGTGGTTGCTGACTATGTGTGACGTACAGTGATGTATGAAAAATGAACAAATCTATGAACAAAATTCAAGATTTTGTCCATTTTGAAGCAAGTGTGTGATGATTAAGACATGCAGTTTACTTAGTGCTAATTGGGGTACAAGTTTCCATTACTTATTAGCCTCCAGTGCAAAACTAAGGAAGCAGCTGAGTGACTACACATAGTGTAAGGGGGAAATTCTGTTGCTGAACAATTTCTTTAGTGCATGCAGGAGAGAAAGACAGCAAGAATGAGACTTATTTATTCTGTCTTAAGAGCAGGTGGAGGCCTTGTAAGTGGCTTTAAAAGAACATTTCTTTAACCCACTTGACTACTCTTATTTGGAAAAATAAATAGTCCCAAGCTTGCATAGCTCTATTAAACATATATAGAGCATGCACAAGTACAGTGTAGTAATGTCAAACACAAGTTAGAGGTTACACAGCCCTGACAAGAGGTGACATTATCTTGCACGGCTGCAGACAAATTGACTGAATGCATACAAACTTTCAGCCTCTTGTTTAACAAAGACGGCTAGCAGCTCTCTCGCAACTGGGCCATGTAAACACATTACTCCAAACAATCACACTACATCCCAAGGACAGATCCATTTGCGGAAAAAAAGCAAACTCACACACAGTTTTATGATTTTTTTTCCCTTTTTTGCCTCATACTCTGACGCCATGTTCATATTTAATGCATTCAGGCATCTGCAGGAATCAAGCTGCAGTCCTTGGGCCTGTAATTACAGGGGCTCCTGAAGTAAATTATAGCTATTTGTGTCTGGTTCCTCCCATCTGGACCACCCAGATAGACGGCCGAGTGAGCGCCGTTGCTCAGCCAGTCACCAGATGGGAGCTCTACACTCTCTCTCTCTCTCTCCACTGCTGCTGTGCTTAAAGAGACAGGCGCTCAAATACTTTCACAGCCAGAAACACGGCCGAGGGCTGGAAAACAGGAGGAAGTGGCTGTAGGAGCTGGAATACAGATTTGAGACCAGAGGGTTTTTGAGTGTTCTTCCACTATGCTGATTTCTGGGCTAAGTTTTCAAGAAAACTGGCCTTCACTGTAAACGAGTGTATCTAACTTCATTTTACAAATCAGTCCTGACCCAGGGGGGAGAACTATATGGATGTTTAATTTAATTCACAGAATCTTTCCCTTAACCCAAGTGTAATCAATCAGCCAAGACATGTTTGGTGTCTGAAAACTGCTAAGGAGCTATGAGGCTTTTTAATGTTGTGTTAACGATAAAATTACAGACAAAATTAGGCTTCTAGGTTTTAGCTATGCAACATACTTTTGTTCATTTTTATAGTTCACACTGCCATTCAGTATCAGAAGTGACATTTGCATGATGCCAAGTGATGGAGAATAAGCTTCTGTTACCTGTTAGCTATATTAACCTTGTAGCTCCAATGCAAAATTCCAGAAATTAAATTTTTTTCTGATCAGCTTCAACTGATTTTTCACCAAACTATTACTTTAATGAAAGATCATGGCAGACTTTATTTTGAAGTTATAAAGCCTGATGTGGTGCATTGATCAAGCAGCAACCCCATCTGTCTAGCGCTCACTCTCTCTTGGGCTTTGTCCTCCCCTCATTTTTCACGTCCCTGGGGGTGACATCACCATCACAGGCCAATTATCCACCAGGAGGGTCTGACTATTGCTCCCCCAACAAGGAAAGAAAACAAACTCACTTCAAAGTAACTCGCACACCACATGCCTATCCACGGCCCCCACATGAAATATATATGAAATGCCTATGCTAAAGGCTGAAGATCTATCCTAATCTCTGCTCAGACAGATGCTCATGATCCTGGTGGCCAAGGCCGTGGTGGGGGGACAATGGTAGCACATTTCAGGGAAAGCGCTTCTGTGGACGGGGGGGCTGGCTTGAGGTCCTTCCGTCCCAGCAGGCTGTCTGGAAAGTGACATGTAATTAACCATGGAGAAGAAGCCCCCCTGCTCCCCTGTGTCAGACTTCTGCTGGACCCTGTCAGCCCCAATCTCCCTCAACGCCCAGTCCAGCCCATCTGACTCTTCACCAAACATCACACTGTATCCTTCCCCATGATAGGACATCATCAACCATAGCGCAAAAAACATAGGTTCATGCTCAAGCAGTTGTCAAATTCCACAAAACTCAATGAAGTATCATAAAAATTCCAAAAATCAATGGATACAATTTTCCCTTTACCCTAATATAGTCAATCACCCAAGACACGTTGGTCTTGCTAATTCATGGGGCATAGGCTTCCAATAATTGTTAGCTACATCACCCCACATAACTGAAGAAGCAAGCATGTTTTAGCTGATCCCATTACATGTGGGTTAAGAGGAAAACTTTTTTTTTCACCAAACATTTGTTTTAAAATGCCCAATGATCTATCTGGCCATCTTCACCCAGTGTGACTGTGTGTGTGTGTGTGTGTGTGTGTGCAACAGTTGCGAGTAGTGCTGTAGTGTGGAGCTGCTGGCGCTGAGTGCTGGTGCTCTCTCCATTAGACCAGGCCACCTTCAAAGTGTTGTGGGCCAGATTAGTGGGATTAGGAGGCCAGTGAAAAGACCCATGCTGACTTGGAGGAAGTCCCACAAGGAAGAGTGCTGAAAGAGACATTTTTACCTGCTTCTGCCACCCAAGTAAAAAAAAAAACACATAGAATGCAGATACACAGTTGGGTGCCAGTGCATGCCAGCACACATTCAAACACACCCACAAACATGTAGACCATTGTATAAAACCAAGCACAAGACATATAGTTGCGGTTCTAGAATCTGATTGGCTGAGCCATGTTCGGAGCAACTGTAAAACAATGAATGCTATTTTAATGTGCCAATATATTAAAAGCACTGCGCTGTTCAAGGAATAATGCCTGGCAACCAGAAACTCCTATTAATTACACTGCTTGGTGAGAATTGTTCATTGCAATTATTATTATCAAATTAATTATAGAACACTGGTGTACTTCAATATAGGCCTTTCTCTTTATCAGACTTGTTCTCAGTTTAATTTTTATGGCAACAAGGGGGTTCAATTTTTTATCAAATCTTTTTAGCTGCTACATCTCCAGTGCAACTTTTAATCATGCAGCCCATGAATGATTAAAGTAGCGTTCATGTCTCTCTCCCTCTTCAGACCCCGGGCTCCACCTCTGGCTCTCCTGGAGCTGAGGCAAGGCCATGGCGAGGCTCAAAG